GAAAAAGAAGTTTCTCTGTTGAATGTTGAGAGATGCACTAATCTATGAGTAAATTTATAAGTCATTAGGAGTTGGTTTACTACTATGTCCATTTATCAGAATAATAGGAGTAAGTTCTTCCTTAGGTCCTATGACCTACTGTTCTTGACCCTATTAACAGTGCCAGGCATGAGTTCCATCTTGTGGAGTGGGCCTCAACTCCAATCAGCAAGTGGCTGTTTACTCCCATCACATTTGTGCCACTCTTGCACAGTGAACATGTCTTGCCAGACCAGTCGTTACCATAGTTTGCCAGACTCACAGCTGGGTAAGACTGATGATTGCTTTTCTTCCCTGGTTGTGGGCATGGTATCTCCCAGTACCATGAAAGCTGGCCAATAGGAAGAAGTCAACATTAGTTTGATTTATCCCTGTTCTATGACTCAAATATATGGTGTTTTCAGTAGTAGGATCTTACTATCAAGCTATAGAGGATAACCAAGAACAGTAGCAATAGCCTGTAATATTTGGGGTCTTTGGAACCCCACTGACCAACAACTCCAAAAAAAGATAACCTATTCCTGGAGCAAAGCTTTTTATTTGCCAGCCTATGGTCTCCAAGAGAGGCAGTCTCCCTGCATTATAGGGTAACTCCGTTTAAACTTTTGTATATCTTTTAAGAAGTTTCTACAATAGTATGTATCCATATTGCTTTTTCAAAGATCTTTAGTGGTAGTTATCTGTCCCCATACTCCTTCTTCTACCCTGTCCTACCATCTCTCACCCTACTTAATTCACAAGTAGGGCTTTAACTATATTGATGGTGTTTATATAAATGGGCTCATATAGTTTGATTTCTTAAATTACTGATATCTGTTAGATATATTTTCAGGCTAGGAATAGTATGTCTACTTTATTTTTTAATTATTGTTGATAATCCTATAGGTAGATTAACCATAATTTGTTTAATTAGCATCCTACTAGTTGACATGTAGCTTTTGTCACTAATACAAATATTGCTACATTAAAACTAACTTTGCTCATTTGTCTAAATTTCTAGAATTAGAAGTGCGCAGTCAAATGAGTCGACATTCTAAATTTTGATAAATACTGCCACATTCCCCTCTACAACAGTCTCAGGAAGACTTGTGGAGACAGTAGAATTCTTTTATTAACTTACTCTATAACACTATAATATACTCTCTTATGGTACAGTGGGTAACAGGTATTAACTTGTATGTGTTTAGTTTTGAATCTTTAATCTTACATTTTTATCTTTGTTGGCCATTTGTCTTTCCTGTTGGCCATTTGTCTTCACTAGGTAGAGGTCTCTCACAGAAATTTGCCTGCCTCTGCTTCCTGAGTGCTAGGATTAAAGGCACGCCTGCCACACCCAGCATCAATAGCTTTCTTAAGATGCCTTGTATATGGGCTGGAAAGTTGACTCAGCGGTTAAGAGCACTGACTGCTCTTGCAGAGGAACCAGGCTCCTTCCATTCCCAGTACCCACATGGCAGCTAACAACCATCTTTAACTCCTGTTCCAGGGGATCCAACACCCTCTTCTGACCTCTGCTGGAATTGTATGACATGGGTGCACTTATGCACATGCAGGCAAGACACTCATACACATAAAATAAAAATAATTTTTAAAAAAATGCTATGCTGGATGTGGTGGCGCAAACCTTTAGTCCCAGCACTCGGAGGGCAGAGGCAGGTGGATCTCTGTGAATTCAAGGCCAGCCTGGTCTGCATAGTGAGTTCCAGGACAGCTGGGGCTACAGGGAGACCCTGTCTCAAAAAGATGAAAAAAAAAAAAAGCCTTATATATTAGTTCACCTTATCCATGAAGGATATATTCCAGGGTCTCAGTGGATACTTGAAACTACTAATATTACTGAATCTAAAATGTAATGTCTTGTACATATTTTTTAAATTTATTTATTTATTTTTATTTTATGTGTATGAGGGTTTTGCCTCCATGTATGTAGGCGCACCCATGTCATGCAGTGCCCACGGTGGCAAAAAGAGGGCATTGGATCCCCTGCAACTGGAGTTACAGATCCATGTGGGTGGTGGGAAATGAACCCGGGTCCTCTGCAAGAGCAACCAGTGCCCTTAACTGCTGAAACATCTCTCCAGCCCCTGCCTTGAACATATTGTCTTTAAGGACTTATCACAGACTGTGACTGTAACGTTTATAGTTCAAATATCACAGAAAATCTAACATGAATGAATTTCTTTTCCTTTGTCACAGTTGCACAGATAGATTTATTCTGACCATCAATATTTGCAATCTCAGCATTAAAATTTCTTTTTATCTGCAGTACTTTGACATACCTGAATTGCCAGCATCTCTGCCCTTGCACTCTGGGACCATTATATAGCTTAGACTTGCTGGGCTGAAAGATGATCCACATCCCAGATGACAAGGAGCCAGAGTGCAGGTGGTTTCATCATACAATGCAGAAGGACACATGATCTAAAACTTGATTATTTCTGGAATTTTCATTTAATATCTTCAGACTATAGTAACTAAAACCAAGAAAATCGAAACTATAGATAAAAGGAATTGCTATGTATTAATTTATTTGATTCTCAGACAAGTTGTTATGGTCATAAGCAAGATTACATGAGCCAGATGTGGTGATTCACACTTGTCATCCCCACTCATGGGAAGCCTAGGCAGGTAGACTGCCAGAAGTCCCAGACTGCCCAAGGTATATATTGAGTAACAGGCCAGGCTAGGTAACAAAATGAGGCCCTGACTCAAAAGTAGGGGAAAAATTAGTTGACATATTGTAAATGGGTCTAACTTAGCATACAAATTTAACATTTTTTTCTTCTGTTTGTGTAGTGATTTTTTTTTTTTAAATCAGAGTTCTCATCAGGCATTGATTGTGCATGCCTTTAATCCCAGCACTCTGGAGGCAGAGGCAGGAAGATCTCTGTGAGTTCAAGGCCAATAGCAAGTTCCAGGACAGTTGGGGCTACAGGAGATTCTGTCTCAAAATAACCAGAGAGAGAGAGAGAGAGAGAGAGAGAGAGAGAGAGAGAGAGAGAAAATGAACAGCAGACCCCAATCTTGTTCTTTTTGGGCAGCTGATGTGATTACTGCTAGGTGAAGAAGAACTGATCTTCTTTAAGGGAGGGACTCTAGACAGGCTGACTAAAACTCAGTGGATCAATGTGCACTAAGGGACATCTGGGGACACTAACTTTACTCAATCAGCCTTAACATAAATGACAGAGTGCAGGGTGAGGGGGACGCTAAGGGAGGGTGCCGATGGGGAAGGGGGTATAAAGATAATTAAGATGTTGTGTGTGAAATACACAAAAATCCAATGAAAATATACAAAAAATGAGAGTTCTGTTTGTATAGTGATCCTCATTCTCACTGCCATAAACAAATATGACTTGTTATTCTAAATGTTATAGTCAATTATATTTGTTTTGTTCTCTTCATTTATATGTTGATTTCTTATTTTTTTAGTTCATTTTAACCTTGAATTAACTATATAAGTTAGGTAAGACTAAAAACATTGCTTTTATTTTCCCTAGAGCAAAGCAATTATCAGGGACATTTTTTGAGACCAAGAGTTAAGTAGCAAAGAGCCAGTTTCAGAATCCAGACCCTCTGTTTCTGATGTCTAGTTGGTGATCTGTCATTTGATAAAGTAAATGTATGGAATTTGATATCTTTGTAGCTCTGTTTTTTAAAAAGGTTGAAAGAAGCCAGGCGTGATGGCACACACCTTTAATCCCAGCACTCTGGAGTGAGTTCAAGGCCAATCTGGTCTACATAGTTCCAGGACAGTTGGGGCTACAGGGAGACCCTGTCTAAAAAACGACCCCCCCCCCCAAAAAAAAAGATTGAAAGAATGAAGCAGAGAAACAAAAGTCTTCTATTTTTTTAAATGTGCCTGGGATTTTACATTGGTCATTGCAAATAAGGCTTACCCATATTTGTGATAATTTTGTCTCTTACTCTGAAGACTATAATAACAAGTTCAGTATTTGTAGACCAAAAATCTTTAGAAAAAGACAATTGAGTAAATTTGGTACAAAACACATACACACAAATGTATACATCACTCTAACTTTTAATCACAGATATCAAAAAGGTTTAAAATGCAATTGACACATCTCTAGTGAGGCCGGGATTTTATTTGAACTTATTTCTCTTTTTTAATGCAATAGATTTTATTGTTTGTATTCTGTCAATATGGTTCATATTTGTATAATGTAATATGTAAACATTTACATTTTTTCCAAGTTAATCATTCCTTAATTGACTTACAATTCCTGTTTCTATTGGGGGGAATCACCTTAATTTTAATGTAGATCAGAAAGAAACTGGAGTAAATACATTTGTTTTCCTATAAAACTTGCTAGAATCCCACATACTTAGGGACTGTTTCATGGAGATTAACTACTTCAAGAAACTTTGCTTAGCATTTTTGTATGCATTTTCTGGCACAAATACATACATTTCTCAAAGTACTCTAAGGATGATTGTCACCTAGAGGTGGCAGAATGCCAGTTATCATTGATAAGATGTTCACTCTGAGTTGCTTTATCTTATACCAGGGATATTCAACTTTTCTGAAGTTGTTTTTTTTGTGTGTGTGTGTATCTTTTTTGGATATTTTGGTTTTTTGAGACAAGGTCTTCTTGTAGCCCCAGCTGGCCCGGAACTTGCTGTGTAGACCAGACCTGCCTGCCTCTGCCTCCTGAATGCTGGGATTCAAGGTGTATACCTTGCCCAGCCAAAGGGGCAGATATGCTATGTATGATAATAAAATGGTCTTTTCCATTGAGGACCCATCTAGCTCTCGTAAGGATCAGGATTATTCCTTAGTGAAGATGGAGCAACCATCTGTAATTGTTCTGTCACGAGTTTTATGCTATAAAAGCTTATGTTCCCACATAAGCTCTCAATCTAACTTCTTTTAAAGGTAAAACATGTTGAACTCTTTGTCACTAATGCTGACTTCTTCCCTGGCTTTTCTCTTGGTACAGCTCAATGGTTATCCGGGACTTAACATTACGCAGTGCTGCTAGCTTTGGCTCCTTTCACCTGATCAGGCTGCTCTACGATGAGTACATGTTCTACTTAGTAGAGCATCGTGTTGCTCAAGCAACAGGAGAGACACCCATAGCAGTGATGGGCGAGGTAAGGGAGGCTTGAAGAGCTATGAACTACTGTTGCTGTTTATTATTGTAATTCAGTATATGTGTGTGTAAATAATTGAATAAAACAGCTTCAGTTCCGGGAGAGGCAGTGAAATTGTTACAAGGGATCCTCTGACCATGTGTGTTTTGAATCACAGCATTCTAAAATTACAGAATGCACCATGTCACTGAAATGTTTGTCCATGTAAAAGAAAACCTTAAGAACCATAAGACTTAAAAAAAACCTGTTGAGTGGGAGATACAATCAATGCTTCTGATAAAGCTAAGGACTAGGAAAACCAAAACAAAGAGTTAAATATGTATTTTGTAGACGCCACCCCAGCCTTCAAGAGCAAAATAAATTATTTTGTTTTGGAATGATCATGATCATGGTGGGGTGATGATAAATGACACTTTTTACTAAGTCCTTCAAGATAATCAAGCAGTTACTATATACAATCCTGGAATAATTCAGCTCTGCCTCATTTTTTGTTGTTTTGTTTTGTTGAGACAGAGTCTCAGTATACAGTCCAGGCAGGCCTTGAATTCAGATATCCACTTGCCTCTGTTTCTTAAATGCTGTAATTAAAAGAATGTGCCACCATACCCAACTCTTGCTCATTTTATTATACCGATTGGAGTACTTATACCATGCTGAATTAGGTGGGCAGTGAGAAGAGGGGGAGGAGTGGAGGAAAGGGGGCAATGGAGGAAGAAGAAAAGGGACTGGAGAAATGGCTCAGTGGATAATGTGTTTGCTGCAGAAGTCTGAGGACTGGAGTTCAGCCCCAGCACCCATGTATTAAAAAAAGAAAAACAGACATGACTGGGTGTGGTTGTACACATGTTTAATTTCAGCAGTAAGAGGCAGAGGCATGCAGATCCCTGTGAGACTGAGGCCAGTCTGGTCTACATAGCGAGTTCAGGCCAATTGGGGCTGCAGGGAGACCCTGTCTTTAAAAAAAACAAACAGAAAAACAGAAAAGTGATGGCATGGCTTTGTTCATCTATAATCAGCACTGGGACACAGAGACAGGAGAATCCCCAGGGGGCTACCTGGCCAGCCATCTTAGCCAGTCAGTAAGCTCCAAGTCAAGGAGAGACACTTTCTCAAAAAATAAGGTGGAGGGCAATAGCTGAAGACATCAAATATCTACTTCTAGCCCACACATACAGCACCCACACAGAGACACAAACAACACACACACACACACACAACATACACACACACAACATACACATGCATGCACAGGCACAGGTTCCCCCCCCTTACAGAGAAGTGAAGGTAAATATTAGTAAATTACTGTTTGATAAACAAAATAAAAGCATAAACAAAATATTGATATTGACATACATCAAGGACCTCCATAAATAGTACAATTAAGTATTCTAATGTAAGTAAAATGTATGCAAAATATATTTTGAATGTTGCCAGGCATGGTGGCACATGCCTTTAATCCCAGCACTCGGGAGGCAGAGGCAGGAGGATCTCTGTGAGTTCTAAGCTAGCCTGGTCTACATAGTGAGTTCCAGGCCAGCTGGGACTACAGGGGAGACCCTGTCTTAAAAAGGCCATATATATATATTTTTGAATGTCAGCTGAAATATTCCTCTTTTCGTTTCTTAATAAAATCCCTTACAGTTTGCTGATATATATATACATCTTTGTATTTTTGTACTTAACTGATGCCAAATAGGTATATATGTCAGATAAAGCAAGAACTGCTGTAGTTTTTAAATAAAAGGCCAAGCAATCTGGATTTTTCTTCAGTTTGACCTCCTTTTACTTTAGCTATCTAGATATCTTCTTATAATACACAGTGTCATGAAAGATTTCTCAACTCAGAGTTCAAGACTTCTGAAATGAGACTGCCTTTTAGTATATTTAGCACATTTGCCACCGAACCTTATATGCTCTAGGGCTTCTTTACTAATAGTGATAACAGTGTTTCTTACTGTTACCTTGTGGTCTATTCTCACACATGGTCTTTGCTTTCCTTGCATGGATAGGGAACAAAGGTACTGGGTATAAGCCAGTCATAGTGCAAAGGCTCTAGCAACCTCTGCATATGATCTTACAGGAATGCTAGCTCAACTCAAATGAGATATATCATCAATACTACCATCTAATCATTCTAAGAGACACTCTTCTTTTAGCTACATAAAAAGATTATAAATGAATATGACAGGTTATGGCATAAAGCAAAGATATATTAATGAAATCTGAGAGTAGAAATGAGACAAGCTGCCTTCTCTAAGGTCAGAGCTCTCAGTGTACCTTTTAGTCTGTTTGTTTATTGTATCCTTACCCAGTTTGTAAGAAAACTCTTTCCAGTGTCTAAGCTAACCCATTTTTCAGTCCAGAAGGCAAACTAAGGCTAATTTTCTAGATTAAATCTCCCCACAAAGGATTATAGCTTGGATGCCTTTTGGCAATCATAGACTGTTTGTTGGCCTTAATCGTATTATGTAAAATTTCTTGATATCTGTAGAAAGGAGGATATTCAAGAAATAGAAAAGCTTTTTTATCCCTTCATGCTGGCCTCATGTATATCCCAAGCTTACCTCTCTTAACCTTTTGGAGTTCCTTTTCCAAATGTCTAATGGCCGTGGGAGAGCATGCCTGAAACCCTAGCACTTGGGAAGTAGAGGCTGATGAACAGAAAATCAAGGCCAGCCTGATCTACACAACAAATTCAAGGCCTACCTCCACTTCATGAGACCCTATCTCAAAACAAAACAAAAAAATAAAACAAGGGGGGGGGAGAGAA